AGAAACGGCACAGCAGGAGTGCACGGCTTTGAGCAGAGAGTGGTGACAAGCCCTGATTCTTTTCAGAGGGTTTCTTCTCTCAGAAGGATCAAGCGCTCTTGCAGCCTACTGTCCCCAGAGAGGAGGTCATTGCAGAAAGCTCAGCCACTTTCCCCGAGAAGGCCCTGGGCATCAACCAGGGATGGCTTATAAGAAGTGCCCCCTCACAGAAGACTCTTGAGGAGTAAGGACCTCCTCGTGAGGAAGGCACATTGTCTTGTTGTTGAGCTTTGGCTCTTGCTCCGGGAGCTGCTCTCCCTCACAGGTGAGCAGTGCTGCTGGAATGCCCTCCCTGTGCATGCCCTGTCTAGTCCTTGTTCACCCTCTCCCAGCTGTCATGCTTTTGTTTCACGGGATCCGGTGTCGTAGCAGAACCAGAGTTCCCAGGCATGCAGTGTCTTCACTTTCCTACATCAGAGGGCTGCTGCTATTACAGGCTACCCTCTTTGGATTTCTCTGTGCCCTCCGAGCTTAGCAGCAATCCTCCCAGTGGCTGAAGGTGAAAGATTTTGCGAAGAATTTTGAGGGAGTCTTTTGCTTTGGAAAAAGTGCTCCATTTGCTTTACAAAGGGTCTGCTCCTGATGCTGACGACAACAGCTAGAAATAGTTGCGGATATGGGTCAACAGTGGTGTGTCACTTTGAGGGGTTGATGATGAAAGCCCACACATCAATTTCACTGCTACTGAACTGACAGCATTCCTTGGGGTTCGTCCGGGGATTTCCTTGGCGGTCCTGTTGGGGGATATGAGCTCATGTGTTCAGTCAGGATCGATTCCCTGCCTCTGCTCCTGAAATGTACTCAGGTTTGGCCTCACCTGGAAAAGGCCATTCAAGAGACTAAGCCAGGTATGGAGGAGCATGTGGTTCTCTAGATACTGTTGTATTCTAACCCCCATTAGTCCCAGCCAACAGATTCAGTGCCAAAAAGTGATGAAAGTTATAACACAACAACTTCCTCATGCCCTTAGCTAAGCCAAGAGCCAGTGTGGTGGTTAAGGTGTTGGACGGAGGACTGAGGGTTCTGGATTCTAGTCCTCACTTGGCCATGAACTTTGAACTGGACTTTGGTTTTGCATCCCGGCTTACTGGGTAACTTTGGGACATCACTTCCACTTATCCCAGGGTTGTTGTGAGGATAAAAATGAGGTGGAGGAGGATTATGTGAGCTGCCTTGGGTTCCTTGAAAGAAGAAAAAAGGCAGGATATAAATGTGATGCTAATAATAATAAGCTCTGAGTCAGAGAATTTGTGTATCAAATGAATCAGCCATTGTACATCAAGGAATTCCTGGTCTGAAGGCTCTCTTGCAGCCTTCATGGCTTTCCGTAATTCCTGCCCAGCAGGAGACAACAGGAGTTCATTCCTTCCATCAGAATTTTCTGGGAAGCTCCAGAGCAATGGAGGGAGGTGCAATGGGAAGACATCACACCACTCATGGGTTAGGTAAGGTACAACATACCACCAAAAGAGATGCAAAATGAATTATAAAATGTCTTGGGAATGAGGCAGAAAAATGGAAGCCTCTTTCATGTAGGAAGAAAACTGCCAGCAAACCAGAGGCTGGATTTTGGCACAGCCCCAGCTCCTCTCCCCAGAGCTCGATGCAATCCGGCCTTCAACGCATCAGCGATGGGGCTTGCAGGGCAGGAGTGGCATCACTCAGGGCAAGATGTGTCCCCGGTCACAGACCTGGAGCAATGGGAAGACGTGACGAAGCACTGAGCCCTGGAGGAGGCCAGCTTGGCTGGGCCAACCTTGCATGCAAGGTATTTTTCTCAGAAAAGTCTAGAGCTTTTTCTCAGGAATAAAAAACATTACTTTGAAAACCTTGTTTTTAGTGGTTGCTGCACCCCCCCTTCCCAAAATAGTGGGGTATTGTGGCAGATGCAAAATGGGCCCAGGTTGCTGATGCAGTCGACTCTGTCACCACTTGCGAAACTCAAAAAGATTCTTAGAAAGGAAAGAAGAGAGGGAGGGAGGGAGGGAGGAGAGAGCTGAGCTATGATGGTTCACTGTACCTGTGAGAAATTGCTAGAGCATTTCTTCTTTCCCAGGAGAAATCTGATGAATAACCCCCTCAGTTTCTGTGCTGTCCAATAGGGTGGAGCCTTTCCAGAGGCCCTTTGCATGCCCTTGTTTAATCCTTGTAAGGTTTCTCCCTCTTGAAAGCCCAACGGGGTCATCTCATGAAGCTGATCCCCAGTCCAACGTTCTAGCCACTCTCCTACGCTCCGCTCTCCAATGACAACACCAGTTGTTGAGGAACAAGTGTGGGAACGTGCAGGTCCACTCCTGTCCTGCTTGTGAGCTTCCCATGGGCAAATTGGAGCCTGCTCCAATCTAGCTTGGTTCGTCTTCCGACAGTTTTGCATGGTACACATGGAGAGAGTGGAGAGGATGACAGGTTCTTCCCGTCTCATAAGACTCAAACCCGCTGGAGTCATCCCGTGAAGCCAATGGGTAGGAGATTCAAGAGAGATCCAAGGAAGGCCTTCTTCACACAGCCATCCTGTAGTTAAACCATGGAATTCATTGTCACAAGATGTAAAAGTCTTGGGACCAGGATATCTAAAGGAACGCCTTTTCCCCTATTTGCCCTCCCACCCCCTGAGATCGGCAGCAGAGGCCCTCCTCCGGGAGCCCTCCATGAGAGACATTAGGAGGCAAAGCACACGGAGGAGGGCCTTCTCTGTGGTGGCACCCCATCTATGGAATGCGCTCCCCAGGGAGGTCCGCCTAGCGCCGTCATTATGTTTTTTGGCACCAGGTTAAGACCTTTTTATTTAATCAATATTTTAATATTGAATTTTATTAATTTGCAGTCAGAATGGGTCATCAATTTATTTATGCTGTTAGCCATCCAGAGATGTTAGTAATAAATAAATAAAGGCAGTGGTCCTAAACATAGGGACAGATTTAAAAAGGGATTGCAATACTACAGCTAATGATACTAATGCACATGTATGCAGATTAAGGCTATGCATGATGGCTTGTCATGGTGAGTGTCCACCACTCTAGTGGTGGAAGCCTCTCCGTACCCATTGCTGGGGATCATGGGGGGGGGGGTTGTACTTGTACCTTGCTTGTGGGCTTCCAACAGCTTTTGCTTGCCCTCTGTGGGAATGGAATGCTGGTCTACACAGCTTTTTAGTGTGGTCCAGTACAACTCTTCTGAAGTTTCTTCAGAGTTGTTGTGAAGACTGAGGAAATCGGATGTGAAATATTTTGGTGTACTTGAAAGCATGATACCGATGTGAATTGTCCTTAATTACGAACATACGGAGATTGTTTTTCTGTCATTAGTGGAGAACATGGCTAAGTGTTTGCTGAGAGCTCAGAGACCCAGCTCAAGAGTTCTCCACTGTAAGTGGCGAGGAACATGGTGCCAGGAAAGAGACCCTTCCTGGTGCTGGTGCATCACAGGAAAGATGAAGCTCCGGTGTTCTTTTGCCCGTCATCCTCTGTAATGGTATTCAGACATCAGTTGAAGGAATTGCTGGTCACATCAGTACTGAAGGAATGGGATTTGGCCTTGATGTTGCTTCTGCTTTGAACGGAACTCTGGTTTTTCATCTCAGTGTTAATGTTTCATTATACTGGTGTTTGTGTTTGTAAATCATGATATTGCTGTTGTCATGAGCAGTCTTGGAAACAAGGATGGAGAGACAGGAGTACCTATTGTAGATAAACAGAAACATTCCCAAATTATGTTGGGGGGGGGTCATGAGTGGGACTGACAAGCAAGCTTAAGTCATGGTGCCTTGGAGAAATGGAACCCGGAATACCATTTTTATTTCCCACCATGTCCCAGGGTGACATCACCTCACAGAGCACATAGTTGAAAGATGGAATTCACTTGCACAGTGGGGAGAACCACCAACTCTGATGGCTTTAAAAGGAAAGAAATTAATATGGATCAAGTTATCAGTGTCTGCTGGACATAATGCTTAGATGCAGATTGCCTCTGGGACCAGGGTACTGGGTCTAAAATTGCAAGATGGTAGGGTTGTACAAGGCATATGTATTATTCTGTTCTGATCAGGGTTTTTCCAGTTTGCACCTTCAGGGCCAAGCATGGACACACTGTCCAACCCCACATGGAACCTTGCAAAAATTCATGAGCAAAAATGTACACAAATACCTCTTAATCAATGGGAGAAGGTGGAATGTCTTGCAGGGAAGCATGTGGTGGGTGCACACAGCTGGAAAATATGTCCAAAAATATGCAGAGTTCCATCAACAGAGAAGACAAAGCAACACTTTCAAACTGTTGCAGACTTAAGTTGGACTGAGTTCCAAGAAGGAACTCAGGAAGCTTTGCCGAACCTGAGTTTGGCCAACTTGCATGCCTTTCGTTGATGGGGCAGAGAAATGGAAGGACTCATGCACGGCTTGTGAGTTTTGTGTGGGAGTCTGGTTGGCCAGTGTGGCAAAAGCAGGTTGAGCTAGGTAGGCTTTTGGTCTGATCCTGAAGGGTCCTTTTCAGGTTCCTATGCTCAGGATGGCTTTAAAACCACCCCTGCTTTTTAGGAAACGCCAGCGGCTACCCATTCATAGAATGTCAGTGAAGTAGACATAGGAGTGAAATAAGACATCCATAGAGTTGGGATCTAGTGAGCTCACATGTCTGAGGTCCTTGGCTGTCCTACCAGTTTCTTGCAGTCATGGAAGCCGAGCAGTTATCTCGTGCCCACAAGCTTCTCTCCAAGTCTGCACGGGACTCTTTGAAGAGTTCGCACTGATTCTTCATCCCCAGGTCTTCCCGTTATTGATCCCAATAGATTCCCTGCTGACACGGAGGGCCTGGTGGGGCAGGCTATTTTGCCCCTACCCCCAAAAGTCCCACACACCTCTGGGTTAGAAGAAACGATGCTCTATATTACCCGTGCCGTAGTGCGCATGCAGTGGGTCTTATTCCTGCTTGGACTGAATCCCTTTCTCTTCCTCCCATTTCTTCAGAGCGCTCGCTGATGTGATGCGACCAGAAGCTCCCTGCACAACGGATCATATGGAAAGAGATCTCAACATTGTGGTCCATGTGCAACATTATGACAACATGGAGACAAGAACACCTGCAAATAACTTGCGTGAGTGGCAGTGCACTGATTTTGTGTTTTGCCTGGATGTGGTTGCTGAGGGTTAGAACTGCAGAAGTCAGGAAACACGTCCTTGTTGAGGAGAGAGAATTTCTATTCTTGGAGAGAATTTACCAGTGGTAACGCGTCTGCATTGGCAGTAGGGAAAAGCTAGGAGGTTTTGGAATTCTGTTTCTCTTGTTTGGCTGGTTCTGTGGTGTTTTCACGCCTTTGTCGAAAAGACAACTTGGATCATTTCGTGGCTTACCTCAAAGGACAGGAAGAAGGACAAAATAGCTGTAAGCACAGTCCCATGCCCATTGGCATGGAAGCAAGTTCTGTTGAGTTCAGTGGAACTTATTTGAAAGAAGTGTGCATTTGGTCACTGCCCCAGCTGCCTGCAAACTTGTAAACGGAAGAGCCATGGATCTCTGTTTGAGCAGTATATTTGCTAGCAAGCCAAGCTGAAATAATATAGACATAGCCCTCAGGCAGTGCAAAGGTTTATGATGTATTGTACATCTGCAATGGATAAATTATACTTTAAAAAGAGGATATCATACAGTTGGAACTTCATGTGGTCAGATCTCGCAGCTGCTTTCTCTGCCAAACTGTTGATATTTAAGTTCTTTCCCCAGGGCTTAAAAAGTTTCAGCTGGGGAAGGTGAGGGAAACGGTGCTTGGACATGCAAGATTGGGCCTTCAGTTATATATATGATTGTGTACTTTACTGTTGCTAAGTTCAGGGAGAAATCTTCTGAAGTATTTACATGATTACATAAAGCTAATGCTCTGAGTTAAATGCCTCAGAAGACTGAATTCTTTTTTGACAGTTTAGCTATTGATGCTCAAATTGTGTGCCTAAAGTAGGAGCAAGTTTCTCACAGCACCATTTCTGCAACAAAAACAGGGAGAGCCCTCTGCAACATTTTTCCACTAGCCTTTGTAACTCAGAGAACTGTGACTGGTAGAAAATAACCACACGTAGTGATTGTGTGGAGATGATGATGGGGTGATAAAGAGGAAAGTGGCAGATGACAACCGTTCAGCCCCTCTTTAAAATGGACGCATGCCAAGGCTGTCTTGAGCAAGGGTGCAGAACCTCATTCAGCTTAAGGGCTGAATCTCATTTCGGAACATCTCGCAGGGGTGGCTTCCCAGTGGTCGACAGAGCCAAAGGGGGTGTGGAATGGTGCAGTCAAAAACACAGCCAATAAACAGCATGTTGTTTCTTCACATTTTTAGAAGAGGCATGACAGCTCTCGGAACCGGGAGAATCTGCACAGAAACCAGGCACCCACCAGTGATCAGGGGCTGGGGGAAAGAGGGTGGGACCAGGAGAAGGGAGCGTGGGGTCCCAGTAAGCCATATTTGCCCACCCCCAGGCCAGAGGTTCTGCACCCATGTCCTTGCACAGCAAAGTAAATGTGAGTCATCTCATCAACTAGCCCGTGCTGCATATTTCTTTCATCTGTGCATCTTGGGGGGGGGGGGGGGGGGGTGATGTCTCACATTGACTTTGGTTTTTTTTTTTTTTTTGGGAGTGTGGGGGGGGGGGGGGAGGGTTGTTTGTTTAAACTGGAAATGGCTCTTTAGTGTTTCTGTGGCAGAATGAGCGTTCCTTGGACCTCTCAAAGGGGGTGTGTGTGTGCTTGTTTTGGTGATGCTGCCATGGCATGAAGCCTTGAGAAGTGTGGCATTTAGGATGAACACTTTGGCTTTGACGGTTGTGACTAGGTGTGATGAACAGGGCTTTGGGTCATGTGAATGGGTCCCACACCTGAGAATCATTTCCTTGGAGACGGCTGTTGTTGGCTGTGACTGCAGATGTCTCAGATCAGAGACAATCATGGTGTGTTGGCGTTGGTTAAACTGAATCCATGTTAGGACAGGGCCATGTGACTTGGATGGTAGACTGGCATTGGCTGGGGAATGAAGCTGAGCATGGCATTGACTGGACAGTGGCATTGACTGGGCCATGAGAACCAGACTGGTACTGACTGTGGAAGGCCAGGGGTTGGTGTCCCACAGCCGTCCTGAGCTAACAAGATTGCAAGGCATCCTGATGATGCTGGGTTGATACCAGGCCCAGAGCCTTCTCCGCAGCACCTGCAGCTGGGTGCACTGTAGGTCTACATGCTGGGTTCCTATTTGGCTCCCCTCCTTGGGTGCAGCTCACTTTTCTGCAGAAGTACAAGGCTCCTTGGGGCATATTGAAATCAGTTTCATTTTTCTTTCCGGGAAAATGGATTACATGTAACTTTTCTATCTGTATTCCTTTCTATCCTCATTTGCACACTGTACAGACTGGGCTCAGTTCTCCCTAAGTACAGCTTTTCAAGGTGGTTGCTTCAGAATTTGAATCTGAACTGGAGGAAGAGGCAGGGTTGGGATTCTAAGTTGAAATGCCAAGGCCAGCAGACCCAGGGCTAAGCCAAGAGGCCTGTGGGACCCAGATCGCATCTGGTTCTCTGGGAAGCTCCATGGAACAGGGGAAGTTAGAGGGGACAGATGCAACATGCTCAGCCCCATAGTCTGGCATCAGCTCATGAAGGCGACCAAATGAGTGGCATCTGGTGCTCCTGCCATCAGGCCCACAAGCAAAGTGAACCTCCCTGAGGGTGGAGTCAAAGCTTTTGGAGATGCGAGGGAGAAGGGAGTCTTCTGTTTGGAATCAATGATTCAAGCAGGCAAGAGCTGCTCCCACAAACTGGAGGAAGTGTTGCTTTGGCTGATGTTACTTGGGAATAACCTTCTGATGAAACAGCATGTGTCACAACAAGGCTGTCTATCTCAAATGGAGGTCCATCCTTCAAAAGATCTGTGGGAAAGGGGGAGGGGCCTGTTCATGGCAGGTGGGCATCCTATGCATGACAGGATGTATAGGACAGCGCAGAGCAGGTGGTCTCCTCCACACTCCAGTCATGCAAAACACCTAGACACCTGATGTTTACCCTCTAGGCCTTTGGCCTCAGAGAAGGCAAGAGTGAATGTGAGGCACTGTTGGAAGGCTTCACACATGGGCAGAATGTACTTCATTCGCTCCCTACCAATTTCCCCACCTCCCCAGGCCCTGTCTCCCTGCTTTCAGTTGTGATCTTGGAGAGACAGGTGGTGTGGACCTTTCCATGCTGGCAGCAGGGATAGAGGGAGGTGCTGGATAGTTTGGAGTCTCAACTCCAACTTCAGAGTAAGTTTCAAAGATCAGAACTCAGAGAAAGTGCCAGTCTGGTCCCACTGCCTAGGCTCAGTCTGCTGGCCATGGGGTACCTCTGCTCATCCCAGAACTATGTAGAGGTCATGGAAACATGATAGATGTATGCATTTCTGCTCCCATGGATTGAAAAACCATACTTGCAGACAGTGCATCACGATATGTGGAGAATTGCAAAAGCCAGCTGGCAAAGTTGCAGCCTGAGCAAAGAGGGTGAGTGGATCAATGGTTTTGACCCAAAATTTGCAGAAATTGCATTCCTGGAGTCTCTCTCCTCACACACATTTTAAACCCAAATAGCTTCCGTGGAAGCAAATCTAAGGTGTGATTTACTCTTGTGGATGCAGGCTGGAAACAAACCAAATACATTGCAGCAGATACATGTGGCCTTCATGTGTCCTTCACAGTGTGCAGAAAAGGTCTGTGAGCGCATGCCTGCAGCCTGACCCTTGATGCTGCACGGCTCTCATCAGAGCTGCTTCCATCAGACATGTGTTCATACAAAGTGGAGGTGTGACACCCAGTCTGCATGAACCTGTATGCAGATAGATTTTTCTGGGTCCCGGGACACTGTGATCAGGGCTGCACAACACAGAGAATCCCCTGTGCATGTGTGAATGCTTGAAAGGTCCATGCATAAGCATGGAAGGCAGAGGAAAAGTTGGGGAATCTCAGAAGGGCCTCATTGGACTCAGGGCTAAAGTGTCTCATAGCTGTGACTCCAAGAAAGAATGAGAACCAGTTGTCAAAGCCTCACAGGTGTGGTTGCATGCCTTGGCTTCTGCACAAATTCCCAGGAAGTACCATTTCTTTCATCTCCCTCCCTGAGCAGAGAAGCTGTGGGTGACATTTCCCTGCCCAGCTAGATCCTCACTCTTCACACTCTCACCATCCATACAAAGTCAACAGGTATGGAGGAGCACACTGTCACTTTAGAAAGAACTGTAGGTGCAGCGCTTGAGAAGAGGGGCTCTTAGACTCTCCCGAAACCTGTCAATGGCTGGAGATGAGCGCTAGGGTGAGCGGTCCCTATTGTCATTGAATGGTTGCTCTCCATGGTGCTGAAATCAGCTCCCGTACTTCTGTCCAGGGTGCTGAACCCACTGTAGTCCAGACGTACTTCACTGCTGCTTAACCCCATGCCCCCTTGCTTGAGGTGTCCCCTGGAAAAGAGAACACATTCTGTTACAGAACATGACAAGTTTTATAGATGTGGTTCACATCTCCTTTCCTTGCACTTTAGTTATTTACAAGAAGTGAGCTAAGGAGGCAAAATGAGGAACCTAAATCATGACTGGAACAACAGCAGCAAAATAGACTGGATCCAGAGCATGAAATCCCTGTTGAACTGGGAGTGGAACAAACAACATTTCAAGTTACTAGTTCAATAGAAGAGATCAGCTAAAAGCAAACAAGTGCACCCTGAGGACTGGGTATACCCACTGGCCCCGGCTGGAATGAATCATGAGCACCTCAAATCGATATCGGAGAGTATTTGTTATACATTCTCCACTTGTCCAGGCTTCTGTGCTCTGTGCTTTTCAAGGGCTATGACACAGCAGGCAGGGTAGGGCTTATGAGACGCAGGTTGGAAGCTACTGTAAACCATGTGGGACTTAATTCCCCCGTGAACCAGAATGGAACTGCCTCAAGGTTTCTTTAATGGAAAGTCAGTCTGCATATTTGAAATATAAATGGACAAAACTGGTCATTAACCATTTGCTTTTAGTATATCCAGCCACCAAGGAACTTCATAGAAACATAGAAACAGAGTGAGTCAGAAGGGGTCTCCCGGGCCATCTAGTCTGACCTCCGGCACCAGCCGGCTCCGCTCACGACTTGCCCACCATGTGC